AGTGTCTATCCTATATGCCCAGTGTGCGAATGAGTGTCCATCCTATATGCCCAGTGTGCGAATGAGTGTCCATCCTATATGCCCAGTGTGCGAATGAGTGTCCATCCTATATGTCCAGTGTGCGAATGACTGTCCATCCTATAAGCCCAGTGTGCGAATGAGTGTCCATCCTATATGCCCAGTGTGCGAATGAGTGCATATCCTCTATGCTCCACTTGTGACTGACCTGCGTAGCTCAGTCTCCTGCGCACTGCCAGCAGGTGCAGGTCCAGCCGCTGCCCATGATGCTGCCACAGCAAGCGCTGCAGCCCCTCCCTCTGCTCCTGCAGCAGGCTCCCCCCTTGCTGGAGGGGGCGCAGGTCCAGCCCCTGGCAGAGCTGCAAGGCCAGGGCAGAAATGGGGTTCCTCTCCTCGGGCGTAGCGCCGCTGACACCCGCCTCCATCGCCGCGTGCAGACGGCTCTCCCTGGCCAGGGGATCGGACCGCGACTGGCAGTCACATGACTGGGCTTTCGTCGGAGCGGCTAGTGCTGTCTGATGGCGGGCTCCGGTCTCCCCTGACTGCGCCTCAGGTGTGCTGGGGCAGCACTCCACTCTTCCTGCGGTGCCGTGTGATTGGAGGGGATCCAGCCTGCAGCTCAGCTCGGTCCGGGCTTCGTTCCCGGCGCCGGGGTCTCCCCCGGGGTCAGGCGGAGCCTCACTCTCGCTGTCTCCTGGCTCGGCTCTCGAACCCCGGCTGGTACCAGCCTGCGGCCTTGCTGCCGCGCTGTCTGGGTGGACCGCGTCCCTCTCCTGTGAGCCACACAGCCCCCTGTCCCCCGTGGGCCTGCACGGCGCCTCCTGGTGGCGAGACCCAGGGGTGCCCACGCCTTCTGCCTCGGCGAGAGCGTCCCTCGGTGGAGCGTCGACTGGGGGGGGCTCAAGGGAGGGAGAAGCGGAGAGGGGGGCAGAGTGGGGGTCACCGCTGCCCTCTGTCCTCTCCCCCGTGGCCAGCAGGCGGTCGATGTCCAGCGACTTGACCTCGCGGTTGAAGAGCCCGCGGTGTCCGGTCAGCCGGTGCTCCGTGATGACGAGGGGGTCCCGGCGGGGCAAGGTCCTGGCGAACGCCGTCTCTCTGGGGGGGGGACCCCGGCAGCTGCGGCAGCAGGCGCAGGCGTGACCCCGCCCCCCGCGGCGGTCTCTGTGAGGCTGGGGGGGCCGGGGGCGACAGTGCGGGCGGTCCTCAAGCCCCAGCGCCCTGCTTCTCCTCGCCAAGCTCCGCTCTTTCCGCGTCCTGCGTCTCCTCACCCTGCGGGCTAGAGCGCCCTCCGGTGGCTGTGTCCTGCCACTGCGGCTCCAGGTGCGATGGCAGTCCAGCAGGGTGGGTGCGTCGTGTGTGTCCCAGTCTCCGCCTGGCTTGAGATGCTTGCCACACACCTTCAGCGCCTGCGTCTTGTCCGCGAGAGCTCTCCTACTGGCCTGAGTCATCACAGCTTGGGCACAGTAACCAACAGGACAGAGGCATCCATTCATACTGTACATCCATCCAGCAGTTTAAATGCAACAATTACAACTTCTTTATAAATAAGTACATGAACAAGTCCTGTTACAATAGGGTCCAATGTTAAAGTACTGTAGACCAGTCTGTTACACTAGGAGCTACAGTCCCAGTCCAGTAGACCAGTCCTGTTACACTGGGAGCTACAGTCCCAGTCCAGTAGACCAGTCTGTTACACTAGGAGCTACAGTCCCAGTCCAGTAGACCAGTCTGTTACACTAGGAGCTACAGTCCCAGTCCAGTAGAACAGTCCAGTTACACTATGAGCTACAGTCCCAGTCCAGTAGACCAGTCTGTTACACTAGGAGCTACAGTCCCAGTCCAGTAGAACAGTACTGTTACAATAGGGGCTGCAGTCACACTGGGGCTACAGTCCTGTTTCTTATTGGTCTTAAACTCCAGAATTCACTCAGATCGCTTAAGGTTTAAAGCCACAAGGTGACCCGGCTCTTGTCAGACTAATGTGTGTCTTTGTAAGAAGCCGCCTGCTTGGGGTTCCCCAAGGCCCGGGACTGGGGGATGGTGCTGAAGTCAAGTGGAATCAGGGATTCAAGATGGGGGGGGGCTCCACCCTCGACACGGGGGTGCTGGAACCTATCCCAGCAATTAACGGGCACAAGGCAGGGTACACCCTGGACAGGATGCCAGTCCATCGCCGCAGGGCACACACCGAAACAAACACACACAAACACAGACATGCTCACACCAGGGCCAATTTTCCCAGCAGCCAATTAACACACCAGCATGTCTTCGGACTGTAGGAGGAAACAGAGGCCCCCAGAGGAAACCCATGCAAACCGAGAGAGAACATATCAACTCCACACAGACACCCCAGGCCCGCTATTGACCCCAGCGCTGCGAGGCTGCAGTGCTAACTACAACACATTTTACATTAAATTGTAAATAGCTGAAAACTACACAGCACAGCACCGAAACCCACAAGTAACAAATGTTTTTCGGAGGCGGGGGACTAAACTAGAGTAACCGTTGATTTTCCAAGTCACTTTCAGATCAATATACACGTTATTAATAAGAAACCGTATCTTACCTTTTACCCTCTTTTAACCACAAGGCACCGATACGGGATTCACTTAGAATATATTCTGCGTATTTCTAAATTTAAATTGTTTTAAAAACTCGTGTCTATTGAAATAAAACGGTAATAATATAACTGCCTTCGAACTACACGTCCCCCGGAGAAGCTGCAGGAACAGCAGCGTGTTTTTTCCTAATTTCACTTTTAATCGTAGACTACACAGAAAACGACAACCTTTTTGTTTTTTTTTTTGTCATGATTTTTAAAACAAACCATAAAAAGTAACAGAAAAAAAATATTTTGTTTTTATTTGAAAGCAGTTGGAACTTGGTTGCTAGGAAACGTGACGCAGAATAGGCGCGCCGAATCTGAGCTAGTAATCAGCACGTTTAAAATTGTTTGCAATTACAAAATGAGACTCCCCGTACACACACTGGTTAAATACACTTAAAGAAATCTAAATGTTTTAACATGATATATTTACATTCTGGTTTACAGAAAAACTGTCGAAATAGTTGGTATTGGTTCATTTTAGTTTTGTGAGGGGGTTAGTGAAATCATTAAGCAAAACGGTGACAAAAACAAAACCTGCGGGACGAAGGGAGGAGAAAAAGCAGCTTAATTGAAAATCGTTGTCGATTTTCTGGACAGTTTTGGTCACATTTAATACAAAAGTGAGCTGTAACGATCCCGCGGGTGCAGTGGTCTCTGTAGCACCCGCACTTGAGCTCGTCTTTCGGGGGCAAAACGCTTACAGAGAGTTGTCGACAGGAGTGTTTTTTTTTTTTTTAGAAAAGCGAGAGTTTTGCAAGCTGACGCTCCCATCGGTCTGCAGCGAGAGCAGATCCGGCTCTTCCAGGAGCGGAACCGGGACCGGCCGGGCGAGCGACTCCATCTGTGTAAAATAGGGGGGGAGATATTCCACGTATCAAACTTTACATTCGATTTTGACCGTTTTTCTGTGACTTTTCACAGTTACGTTCCCAGCCTTTCAAGTACAAAGCCTGTTCTGGCGTGTTGAACTCTATCTTC